GAGAAAACCCCCAAGACTCACTGCTCCTACAGTGGCCTAAGGGCTTTGGGGGGCTCATGCAGAGCCCCCCCCCCCACAGTGCAGGGCAGTGGGGATTGCCCCTTGCTGGCAGAAGCGGTGAGTGCAGGGGTTTTCCTCAGTTATTTTCTTCTTAAAGGGCCAGAGATGGGGTGGGCAGGGCAGTCACGGTGGGGCTGGGGGAGCAGCAGGGGGGATGGGGAGACTCATGCAGAGCCCCCCCTGCAGCATGGGGCAGTTGTGGGCAGTGGGGTTCGCCCTTCCCCCGCCCAGCAGCACCTGGTGAGTCAGGGCTTTTTTTTCCAAGTGCGGGAGCTGGGGCAGGTGGGGCAGCCATTGCCAGGGCTGGGAGACCAGGCAGGGGATGGGCCTGAGTGATTCAGAGATTCAGAGATTCGGCAGCATCTGAATCTCCAAATCAGATTCGGCCAAATGAGACAGTGATTTGAATCACCAAATCAAAACACTGTCCCCCAAATTGGCCAAATCTGAATCTGAAGTGCATACTAGCCGCTTCACACAGGCCTAATAAATGCACACCAGCTGCACATGTAGCTCCCAATGCCTTAAGGAACCCAGGGTTACATAATGTGATCTTCATAGCAATCCTGATGAGCTACCCTGAGTGCAACCCTGAGCTAGGACGAGGCCAGGAAACTGTGGTTTGCTGAGGGGAGGAGGAGAGGGGCCATTAATTTGAATTTTTACTGATGAAGTTTTTGTTCTTGCAGGTCAACTTTTTCTTTTTGCTTAACATTGTCCGAGTTCTAGTGACAAAGCTGAGAGATACACATCGGGCTGAGTCCAACATGTACATGAAAGCCGTCAGAGCCACTTTAATCCTGGTGCCGTTGTTGGGAATTCAGTTTGTTATTATTCCCTGGCGACCAGAAAACAGACTTGCTGGAGAAATATATGATTACATCATGCATATATTAATGCATTACCAGGTATGTTTCGTAACATCTTGTTATGCTTAGGAGATGCATTTACTGGTAAGTTAATTTAGTGGAGAATTCTGCTGCCAAATACTTTGTCTCTAAAAGGGAGCCTGGCTGTTTGGTTTTGTTTCCTCCAGCACTTTCATATGATTGTATTATCTCCCTCTGCTGCTCTAGTGTTAATGTGTAAACGGCCACCTCCAAGATGAGGAAAGCAGAAAAAATGCTGCAGAAATTAGAGAATAGTGATGCTTCTGAAATGAAGAGAGAAAAATGAGATTGCAGAAGGCTTTATACATTATTTAGAGCCCTGCTAATACAGATATGTTCAGATAGCCTATCTGAAAGAGCTACAGTGGGGTGATATTAAAATTAACTCTGTATGGAAATGATTATGGAAAGGAAAGAGAGATGTATGTAGGAGAAAAGGTCAAGAACATTAAGGCTAAATCATAAAATTGTTAAATCATCATTTAGATGGTTCTAATTAAAAAGCAGCTCTAACATTTTGGTTTTTATGAGTATTTTGAAAATACACCATCAGTAGTTCAAATGCACTGCTTTGTACAATAATTTACAATGGAAAAAAAACACAAAACAAGCCAGCTAGGTGATATCTCTGTAGAAAGGGCTGGCTAAACAGTGATTAAAAGACACAGTAAAGGTAAAAAAGAAGTGCCATGAAACATGGCTATAACATGGGATAATTATAGTCTAAGGAAAAGAAGTTCCATCCCTATGAGTTGCCCCAGCCAACTTGTATGGGTGTCTGTGCTAGGCTTCTGGGCCAGCTGCTACCATTGGTTCAGTTCCATGAAGACCAACAGTGGTGCGAATGCTGTAAAATAAACACCGATCCAAATAGCCACCAGCATTCTAGTGTAACCTCCTATTCCAGTGGTTCTCAGCCTTTTCAGAGGACTCAAGGTACCCTTTGATAGATTCAAGGCACCCATCTGAAAATACCAGCTCTTAATTTTCACTCGTTTTTTTTAACTAAAAAGAATAATAAAACAATTCTTCTGTTGCAAAGAATTTGGAAAAAACCATAACAGAACAGAACACTTTTAATACTAAGGATTCCTATTTGAAATCTCTGGGTTTATCTTATGAATCATGTTTGTTCACCTAATAGTGCTAACACTGCAGCACCCTTGAAATGATCTCATGGCACCCCAGGGTGCTGTGGCATCTAGACTGGGAATCACTGTTCTGTTCTAACCTGTTCAGAGGGTCTCTACCATGTGGTACCTAGAACTCTGTGGCTGTGTGTACACTGCCACATGGGACCATTCTTAGGACATTTTCAAGGCCCACCCATGCCAATCTTTTACACATTGGGGGTTCCAATTCACCCACCCTACTCTTCAGCACCAGCTGGGGAACCCCAAGAATGACCTCCCTCTGCTGCCTTCCCCCCTCCCATTCTAAAAACAGCCAACACTGGCAGAGAGCCCTGGCCATTGCAATGGGAGCCTGGCTGCAGGCTCCAAGCTGGCAGCTAGATTCCCCTCCCTGCTGGAACCAAGAGTGAACTTCTGTTTGGTCTGGGGTAATGTGGTAACTCCGAATGCTTTGCAGAAATCATTCTGAGTTACAGCTCTCATTATAAATGAGAAAATGTAAGCCTCCACCAGAGATAAGTGAAAGTAATGCTACATGTGCTCCACAATGAGCACACTGGGCTCCTTCACTGCTGCTACTCAGCTACTTACTGCTACTTACCAGTGTCAAGGAAAGAACGTTTTATCTGTCTTCTGCCTTTCAGAAAACAAGTTATGCGTTATATTATGAGGCACATTGTTTGAAAGAGAATATGGTGCTGAGTCCCTACTATCATGTGAGGTTTGTTATTCCAGACAGGATAAAATCTCTCCTTCATAGCTGTGGAGTGAACCTAGAAAAAAATAATATAAACAAAGATTCTGGAAAAAATGGCTTCTTAGTGACTTCTGTTCTCCTAATATGAATCTGTGGTTTGTGCCCTATGTCCAGAATGACCCCAAGGAATCTCTGAAACTGGAGATTGATTACTCCCCCTCACAATTATTAATACAAATCCCGAGGCTCCAAATGTATTTGAAATGAAGATAATATCAGATAGAAGAGATACTTCACCTCTTAAGTGGAGGAACTAATGCACAGCAGCTCTCTCAAAAGTAGAGACTTAACATGGATTGATGAACACCCAGCTCTCCAATTAAACACAGAGAGCTAATAAAGTACATCATGAAGTAAACATTTCCCTTCCAGAACAGAAAGTTAAGTGTGAATTTTCCCTAGAGAACATGACTTTCAAGATTCTATAAAATGATTACGAAAGTTATAGCTTTTCCTTGAACCAGCACTTTGCAGTGTTCATCAGGTTCCCTTGGAGCATGAAGAAATCCTTCCAGAGTGCCATGCAGAGAGGCACTGATATGTATAGGTGAGCGGGGTGCAGCCAGGAAAGGAATGAAGTAGCAGCCATGTGTACCAGGTTGTTGAAATTAAATTCTTCCCTCCCATGCTTGCACAGAAGTGATGTAGATCCCCACTGCGTACCCTGCCTGAGACCCAACCACAGATTTCTGTGCCTTTGTTCAGCAAAATTCTTCAGCTTATATGCTTATGGTAGGCATCCAAAAAAGCCCAATGAAGTCAGTAGTAATATTCAAATGTTTAAAACACTCATGTACCAAAATATCTTGCGGAATAGGGATCCCTGGGAGTCTGAGATTGCCTTTATAAAAGAATTAAACAGTCATTCAAAATCACAGCCCTGTTTTCACAAGTGTATAAACCACTTTCCCCTACTAAAAGGAACATAAATGATTTTTGCTCGCTTATCAAACAATACTAATTCCACATCGTCCAGTAGCTTGTGAAGAGTGGGATCAGAATTTAAACATTTTCCTGCCAAGTTTGGAGGTGTGGCCTCCTTTTCATGAAGGCTACTCTGTTTTCTTATGAACAGATTTGAGAGCTATATTTTTTATACTGCTCTGAGCTTGTAAATTTGAACTCATGCAGACAAGCAGAGTAATTGCTTTATGCAGAACAAAATTAACCATTTAAAAATGTCATGCTTATTTGATCCCTTTACAGTATATGCATTTGTACACCTGTGCATTTAAAAGGGGCATAAATATTGCCAACATTTGGTGGCAAAGCAGACAGAAATTTTCTTTCTGCCATGGAAAGTCAGGGGCCTGGGGCCACTCCTGACAAAATAAATCTTTCCTTTATTTCTTGTTCACTTTTACTTTGGTTTGTGTTCATTTCCAACTTCCGTGCCATTTTTTTAGACAATGAAAATGGCCAAAGTATTAGTTTTTGCAACTAGTGGCCAAAATGGCCAAAATATCAGTTTTTGCGACTGGCTAACTCTTCAGTGCTATTTTTGTATATAGTATTCATGTATAAAAAAGGGCTCCAGCAGTGACAGTGAGAGGCAGCAAAGAGAGGGGGGAGCACTCAACATCAGCCATTTCTCAGCAGAGGGCCTGCCATCTTCCCTCCTTTTCCTGAAAACCTCCTTCAGCTTGGGCAGTAGCAAAGACTTTTTTTGCTGCACAGCTTCTAGCATAAGTGAACCATCTGTCATCAAAGTATTTAACTTGGAGCATCATACTGTTATGGGCATCACAGAGTTGATATGGAGCTGGATGATTTACCTCAGTTTAATTTTCCATGGACCTCAGTTTCATTCTGAAAAACTGTCTAAGTAAAATAAGCACCATTTTTCTGACCCCATTCTATATCAAAAAGTGAGCATGTGTATCTTGATGGCAGATTATGTTTCCTATTAGTTTCTGCTGTCTGCTCTGGAGGACCAGGTAGCCTAGGTGCATACCAGGTTCTTTTTTTTGGCTTACACACAAATCAACAGAATTGTTAACTGAATTCCTACTTTACAAACATCTCTGCAGTCTTCATAACCTTCAAACTGTAGTGACAATTATGCCTACTTATTCTCAGTGAGGGCATTAGGTCTGCACATGTGAAACCAAGAGGATGATGTGAAGACACTGGAGATGCCTACTTATTACTGAGAGATTGAAGATGTAGAAACTTTACCACTCGGAGAAGTTTGGCTGCTGAACCCCAGCTGAGTTTGTAAGGCTAGCAATTAGAAAACATTTTGGTTATAAGTCAAATGAACAAATTTTATAGAGAGAGACAATCACTATAAAACTCCATACTGCCGCTTTTGTAAATTCACTTTTCAGAACAGAACTCTGCTTTAAGACACTGAGGGCACGTCTCCACATGCACCCAAATGCACTCTTGTTACTGCGCAGTCATTTAGTACTTGCTTTGCTTTCACAAGTACTAAATGACTGCAAAGTAAATGCCATTACTGCACAGTCCTGGTGGCGCACGGGTCATTTCTGACCCTACTGTGCAGTATCATCAGCATCACGGTTCGTGCCCGCCAACACTATGTCTCCATAGTTTATTGTAATGGTGAGATAGTGTCTTGTGTAGATGCACCCAGACTTCTGTAGTGAACAAAAAAACCCAAACTGAACAGTTGTTAAGCTAAGAATTTCCTTAGATCAATAATGGTTCCTGAAGGTTAAGTAAATCTAGCCATGAGTTCAGGAATATATATATCAGATTTATATATTTTATGGCTAGCAAATGTATAATCCCTTGAGCATGAGTCAGCAGATGCTGATGATTCACTTTGTTGTCACAAACTTTCATTGGTAATACAGAGAATTTCAGAAGTAGTATTTAAAGGTTTTAACCCTAAAATAACTTCAGTTCTGACCTGTGCAATGAACCCCCAAATCACTGTTACTCTAATAGTGATAGATAAAATATGTCAGGAGAGTTTAATTACTTTCTACAGTAGATAGAAGAGACAGAGACAGGGTTTTGTGATCAAGGATGAATGACAACAGCTTCAACAATGGGCCTTGTTAGACAGTGAATTTAGGTGGCTTCTGGAGCTCTTAACCCCTGGATTGGCTGCACATTAACACCTTTTAGGTGGCTTAAAGCACTTGTTATTTGCTTTA